TCTACAAACTTTCTCCATGAAGCCATGTTAATTCTACTGTCACACACCAGGCACAGTGTTGCTACCGAGCACACTTTAACCATGTTGTAAAGCAATAATTCTTAACAGTGGCTCCTAAATAATGAACTATCAATGCCTCTGTAACAGCCAGTGACCATACAAAGTCACTAACGGTAACGGTAACGGTTTCCCTTGACAATTTTTGTCCAGTCGTGTTTGACTCTAGGAGGCGGTGCTCATCCCCGTTTCCAAGCCATAGAGCCAGCGTTTTGTCCAAAGACAATCTTCCATGGTCACTTGGCCAGTGCGACTTAGGCACGGAATGCTGTTACCTTCCCACCGAGGTGGTCCCTATTGATCTACTTGCATTTGCATGCTTTCAAACCGCTAGCTTGGCGGGAGCTGGGACAAGCGACGGGAGCTCACTCCGTCCCGTGGATTCGATCTTATGACTGCTTGGTCTTCTGACCCTGCAGCACAGGCTTCTGCAGTTCAGCCCGCAGCGCCACCACGTCCCTATACAAAGTCACTAGGAGTTGGCAATAGTGAACTAATACCTGTACATCTCACATACCTTAAATACTTTGTTAGTGTTGCCTTGATGGCTCATAACAACAAGTACAATAAGTAACTCTCTAGATAGTTGTTTCTTTTGCTGCATTTCAATAAAAATAAACAAAGAGTGTTGACATGTAATTGAGGCATGATTTTAATGGGCTCAGAGATGTTCTCTTTAATTGTGATAAATGCCAGCTTCTGTGTAAGTAATTTACATTTAGCTAATGGGGCTTACTTTATAATTTTGTTGTAAATACAATTTGAGGACCACAATCTAACATTTAGTTAAGAAAGTTTGTAGGGGTTGAGATTAATGCAATGTATAATAGATTTATATGCAATTAACTCAACATTGCTTTTTGAGTTAATCTGCTTTCTCCTGTAAATATGTTTTCAAATGCAACTTATGTGATAGCAGGATGGGAGTCTTTTGGATTAAATTATCTCATTTTAGAGACATAGTCTCTTTTAGGACCTACTTTTGTGTGCGTACTTTTTAAAAACCTTTAATTTCTCTGCAGAGTGGAAATTATGACAATAAAATCAGTATACTATTCATCTGTTGATTCAATAGGTCTACTGCAGTTGGAACTAGCAATTGAATTTAGACCATTAGTACTAAAAGATGGTAGAAAAATCTATTTAGGATTGAGACTCGTATATCTATACTGTATTTTGAAAGAGCCAGTGTGAGATACGGATGATCGGCACAATTCATCTGTCTCTGACCCATGCCTCTTGTTACAATATGATGATAGGGACACTGTTTGGCATCTCCCCCTCAATTTTACTGTAGTTGTATTAAAAACTGTGGAGGAGTAGATTGAAATGTGGTTTTAAAAACATAAAATATATTAATAAATGCACACTTAGAGAAGAAATATGTTTATGTAGGTTGTGGAAAAATGATTTCAATGAACATTTTTATATAGGAAATTTCATACATATTTAAAAATGCACATGAATGTGGAAAGAGGACAGGAAGGACTTATGAGTGAATTCCTATGCAACAGACAACAACAGAAAATAAGACGGTCAATAAGTAGTGTGAAATCAATGTTTATTAAGCTAACTTAGTTTAGATAGATTTATGGATGTACCGTCATAGAAGACGTTTCAATTTATTCTACTCCTTCAGGAGATAAACAATTCTTGATAATTATGCCATTTCTATTATAAAAAAAATTCAGTTTCAAGCTGATTGATTGATTGATTTTATATACAGCCTTATAGTGCTTGCTGCACCACTCCTTGAATATTTCACATGCTTCAAATACCTCAGATATCTGGGTACTGGTGAAAATATGTCCATTGAAACCTTGGAGGCTTTGAATAGTTTTGAATGACAGAGATGTACTGAAGACAGACTGTAAGACCAAATTAATTAGTATTTGGTAAATATTATTCATAGGCTAGAAAGTTACTGGCCATGCTGTCTGAGGTATTCCGGGAGAGGGACTTATAATGCTTTCATTGTTGAATAGTGTAAGTTGTGGACTTTGTAATCAAAAGAAAGGCATTTTACCTGTGAGAGAGATCCACTGAACTCAATGGAGCTCTGAAAACAGGTGTGTGATTTACAAATTAAATGGATATTAGATTGTGCTGCAAGTCTTTGAATTAGTGGGTTTACCAAAGTCTTTGCAGGTGTTAAATCAATCCAATATGTATAGACAGAGCCTCTTGTGGAAAAAAATCAACATAAAAACAACACTACATTTTCAAATTTGTTTTCCATAATTGTACCAACCTAGAAAGAAGGAAGGAGGGACAATGCTAGCTGCAAATTGTTTAAGGTAATACGAATGACAATACAGTATTTAATGCCTAACATATGGAATAGTTTGGAATATTAAAGGAGTGTTGTTGCTTGTTCCCTCTTAACTCTGACTGTTGAGAAATGTAATGGAAAATGCTGGTCTTTTATATACCTTTCACTGCATTTTCATTACCTGCTAGTCTTGCTAAGATCAGATCAAGGACTGAGCAAAACATGGACATATTTGTCTTGTACTCCAGTGATATGGCCTATCACTCTAAGGAGAGACAAAATAGTGCTTTCAAAGTAGATAGCAGTGTTTAATAAAACACATGGACAGTAAGGCCATTGCTGGGCAGGAAATTAATTTTTCCCTGTTTAATAAATAAGGTTGTCTTTGTAAAACGATGTCTCTTGTTTTCTTTTTTTCTGTCTTTGTTTCTATAAATCCTGCCATGCTGTGTTTTAACGGCATTAAAAACATAATATACAATGGATTAATAGACACACATTTGAAATATTTTGTTTGAATCTATCACGTTTGAATTTGTCAGATGATGCTTATTAGGGAGTGTAATGACAGCATGTTTCAAGCATCAGTATAAGCCTTAAGGATACATAGGCACCTTGTCCATCATAATGTAAACGCAGAGAATACCGATATTTTAAAAACAAATATTTAATTAGTTGTCAGTCTTCAAAAATATGAAGATTAAAGCATTTGTAAAAATAACAAAGTATTCTTGCCACACTTTAAATTTTAACAGATGTTTTGTGGCCAAAGTTATACCCATGTAGAACTCTCTTCATCAGGTTTCTGTTGGAGCTGAGGTGTAGGAGATGAAAAGTGGTCCATATTTACATGCACAGTTTGTTATGCAAATAGAGGAGGGACACGTTGCAAACAAGGAGTGGATTCTTAGTCTTGCATAAAATATTACCTAACTGAAGTCCAATTGATTTCACTGTGTCAGCTCTGACCAAAGAGATGTGATAATTTCTCAGTCTTGTTATGTTTCCCCAAATCCCATCCATTTTCTCACTCTGTCCTTGATGTATTTCAGGCTGAAAATCTTTTTTTTTTCCTTTGCAAAGTAATTCCTGGTCTACCCTTGACATTAAAATGAAAAGTGCCCATTTTTTATACATGTTTAAGTGCCACATGTTCTTATACAGGATTTGTATTTTAAAAACGTATATATTTACAACTGGTCATATGTTTAAACTGAACTTATTGCTATGAGCAATTTGGAAAGTAGGATGCACATTGTCTTATAGTGAATTTTGGGAGATTATTTTAAAAAAAAAAAAAAACAACAAAAACCTCAAAGAAATTTGTTTCTGACCCTAATGAGGATCCAAGCCAGGGGATCTAAAAGGCCATGAAATGCAACTATGCTGTAAGTCTGTGACATTTCTATTCAAAACCAAAATATATACAGGATAAGAACAGAAACTAACCACAGTGTCACATGCTGATAATATAATCTCTCTAGTGTTGCAATGTTAATTTAAACTCTATAAAGAGAGGAAAACCCATGGTCCCAGTTAAGATGTTAATGAACAGGATTCTAATTGCTGATAATTTCTAGTTCAGTAGTTTGACACAGGAGGGTCCTTTTCAAGTTTTTAAAAAATGTGTTTTGGATTTTTTGAACAAATTGAATTAGGGGGCTACATCAATGCGTGACTGCTGGGATGTTGAAGCATTCACCTACTGCTGTTTAAAAAGTCAGATGTGTTACTAAACTCTTTTATAGTCTAACCTTAGTTGAGTGGACTGCTTGAACTTTATGGTTTTATAACCCACCATTTTAAATTTTAAAATGCTTTGATATTCATTTAAAAAGAACATACAGTTACAGTTTAAAAACACCAATGATCAATAATTTTAAAAAAATAAATAAAATTAAAACAGAAAAGATAACTATCTGTGTACTTTCTCTTTATGTATGAGACTAATCCTTTAAGAATTCAAGACAGTGAATTAACTAATCCCTGTGGGCATTAACCCCTTAGTGTGTGCTTCTTTTAGTTGCTTAAATCTGAAGTCCTAAGAATGACTGACCAATTAATGAAAGTTTACTAAGATTTGATTTACACATACGCATGCACACATGTGTGCGCGCACATATACAAGTGTATAGTACAGCTCTCTTGCAAGTATGCAATAGAGTAAAACAGCATAATTTAATCCCATCCCCATGAAAATTACCTATCAGTGGAATTCTGGCATGTGATGGGAAATGATTCTAGGTATCCTTCTCTCTGCCTTATCAACCTGTCACTTTCAATATGTTCGGTTATTTTTAAAATGTAAACATGCTAGCCAGTCTTGCATTTTAAAGTACTGTATTATGATACCATTCACAGGCAGCTATGCCCTTTGTTTTTGTAAAAGTGTATATTGCCTATATAACTCTTCTGAATCTCTTATACCTGTGGTTCCCAACCTTGGGTAGCCCAGATATTATCAGACTACAATTCCCAAGAGCATCCACCACCAGCTGTGTTGGCCAGGGTTTCTGGAAGTTGCAGTCCAAAAACATCTGGGGACCCAAGGTTGGGAACACTCTGTTAGACAACCAAGAAGATACCAGATCATCATTTAACCAATTGACTGATTTTTACTGCTTGTTTGTAGCTAAATCCATCATGAATAATTTTATATTTACATTTTCAGTGGGAAGAAATAAGTGGTGTTGATGAGAACTATACTCCAATCAGAACCTACCAGGTTTGCAACGTAATGGACCACAGTCAGAACAACTGGCTGAGGACAAATTGGATACCGCGTAACTCAGCTCAGAAGATCTACGTGGAGCTTAAGTTTACCCTGAGGGACTGCAATAGCATTCCACTAGTTTTGGGCACTTGCAAGGAGACTTTTAATCTGTATTATATGGAATCAGATGATGACTATTCGGTCAAGTTTAGAGAACACCAGTTTACAAAGATTGATACTATTGCTGCTGATGAGAGCTTCACTCAGATGGATCTTGGGGATCGAATCCTTAAACTGAATACTGAGGTTCGTGAAGTAGGACCTGTCAGCAAGAAGGGATTTTACTTGGCTTTTCAAGACGTGGGAGCATGTGTTGCCTTAGTATCAGTGCGAGTGTACTTCAAAAAGTGCCCTTTCACTGTAAAGAACCTGGCCATGTTTCCAGACACAGTACCAATGGATTCCCAGTCATTGGTGGAAGTGCGGGGTTCTTGTGTTAATCATTCCAAAGAGGAAGACCCACCCAAGATGTACTGCAGTACAGAAGGTGAATGGCTAGTTCCCATAGGGAAGTGCTTGTGTAATGCTGGCTATGAAGAAAGAGATTATGCCTGCCAAGGTAATGTTTATGTACTAACTTCCATGTTTTTATCGTTTGCTGATTGACTTCCTCTGCTTTAAAGTGCTTTGAAAAGCAAATGAGAGGACAAATGTGCAATGATTTGTAAAGCGAATTCGTACATGCATCTGAAGCCAAAGGATTAGCTGGTTGGCTTACATGAATGGCAACTGCACAGTTAGGCAAGTGGTGCAACGTTTGGAAGCAAATTAAGCTATCTCTGTAAATACCCGTTGCATACTAATTTGCACAAGTCAGTGTGCAGTAGATAATGTCTATGAAGATTTCTTACACAGTTTGCCTCTGTGCTGCTTGTGTAACTGCACAACACATTTCAATTATGCAGTCTATCAAGGATTAGCAGGCATGACCACACATGTTGTGTCACACACACCCCTGTGATTTATGCATGGGGAAAGAAGGTCATCTCAGTTATTTAGGAACACAGCAGTATGACCTCTGATATGATGTATGTATAATTGCTTTCAAGTGAGATGTTTATATTCTTAGTATGCGCCCTTAGAAGCAAATGATGGAAAATGTGAGTGAATATTTTGCTAGTATTTCATGGGCCATTATTGATGCTTATTACTTTAATGAGGCTTGGAAGTTGTGCAGTTTTACTGTAGAGCACTCAATTATTCTTAAATATTTTAAAAACAATAGCTCAATGGTTTAGGTATCTGGCTGTGAAGCCAGAAGTTGGGTGTTCAATTGCCCACTGCGCCTCCTGACAAAAGAGCTAGCCTGTGTAGCCTTGGGCAAGCTGCGCAGTGCCAGGGCGCCCCCAGAAGAAGGGAATAGTAAACAACTTCTGAGTATTCTCTATCTGGGAAACCCAGGAAAGGGTTGTCATAAGTTGGAATCAACTTGATGGCACACTT